TAAATCGCCAAAAATTCGTGCAACCGTTTACCTCAGGGGATTCAATTTGCATTTTTGTATTAGCATTTCACACATTTTATTTTGGGTGCTACTTTGGTAGACGGTTGCACGAAACAGTATTCTCCACAATATCTGAGCATTAAACAATCGCCGAAAATAGTGTTACGAATTTTGTGTAGGTAGTTAATTTTAGTATAATTCTAATTAAAAAATGTTAAAACTTATCTCGTGCAATGCGGCGCGAGATAAATTTTAAGAGAAGCTATGCCGGAAAAGTAAGAATACATTGGCACGTACATTTAACTATGAGTAAATGGGTATCTCGGTAATTCGTATTCAAATGAATAAATGTAACTGACTACGATTAGGTAACGTGTGATTCTATCCTCTTGTTTCATTTGCGTTGCGAATAGTATGGGTTATGCATCATATCATTTATCGCGGCTCTTGGCGATATTTTTTGGTTAAAATTCTGGGTTGGCTATACTGAAGCTGTGCCAATACTAGTTTAATTTTTAAATCCTTTTTTGATATTCTATGGATTTAATAATTTGGGAATTGCCCATGACGAAAAGTCTGCAATAGAATTTTGGGTAAAGTGCAGAATCACCCACTGCTTGACGCACTTTTAAGAATTGCACATACTCGATATCCATCGACCTATTTTCACTTTAAAAGAAAATCCCAGAATTGCACAAAAATGGCACTGCACACACCCTTGACTTTATTTATGTGCACATCGACCTATTTTCACTTAAAAAGTAAAAGAAAATTGACAAAAATCCAATTGTTTTTACCCTTGTAAAAAGCGGCAAACAAATAAGTGGGCGATTCTGCACTTTACCGAGACTTTTTTCAAAGAAAGGCATCATTCATTATAGAAAATTATGTTTGAACCACCAGCGAGATGAAATTATGCTTTAGAGATAACTCGGTAGCGAAATAGCGATGCAAGCATCCATTCAGTTATGTTTAGCAATTTTTATATAAATTATGAGAATTATCTGAAACAGTTATTTACTCTTATGCTTCCATTTAGTCATGTTTAGCCTTTTTTATATAAATTATAATAATAAAAACGTATTATATGAAATTAACATTTCATCTAAATTAAAACATCCATCTTGGATAGTTATTTACTATTTGTTGCAACTCAACCCTTGCTGAGATCCGATGGCTGAGTGACGTCATCTCGAACTATGAACTCTCGCTAGAGATCACGAGAACTCGGGACTGAGAAGTCGCACGCTGCGTCGTGCGAATATTTAAACCTTTCATTATGTAAAACTTATGTAACCGTTAACGTCTTCATGAAATATATTTGTGTTAAGAAAGTTTATCATTTATGGATTATCCCTCTCAAGATTTTGCAGATGCACAGCACAGAGGAACTACAGCCCATTGGCCCTGGCCGAACCCATTGGAACAAGGTAAGCAGTTTTGTTTTATTTTGATTAATTAGTTAGAAGTAAGATAAAGAATATAAAATAATACTATTATACTTCCTTTCTTGCGTTAGGGTTGTCGCAATTATTTTTGGCAGCATTGGCATCAACAATAGTTTGGCAATTTTTTACGGCCCGCAAAACCGAATAGTACCGAAAAGTATTTTTGCAGATTCTTTCTTAAGCTGGGCGGATGTAGCAAGTATCCTTACATTTAAGAAACTTTTCGAACATGTGATTTCACCTTATTTCAACTTACTTCTGTTACTTACGTTCCAGCTCACTGCAGGTTTGATTTTTCGAAATCCGGGTGTTTTGTTCACCCACTTTTCATTTGTTCCACCGATTTTCTTCTTGGGAACTACGGTCAAGACTACTTAATGTGATATGCCCCTGGAATTTTACAGCCGGACAAGTTGCATAGAGTTCAGTTACCGTCAGATATATACTATAAGGTATTTCTCCCACTTTCCTAGCGTCCTTCGTGGTGTAGTGGTTCTGCACGCTGGGCCGGTATTCCTGAGGTCCGTGGTTCGATTCCCCGCGAAGGCGTTTGCTATTTTTCATCTTTTCTGCTTCTAAAAAAAATCCTAATACCTCTACAATACGTAAAATATCAGCTTAATATACGTTAGGTATTGTATTATTAATATTAATAACTATTCTGATAAGAATGCACGTTTCTTTCAAAGAACGTTGTTGCGTGCGTACGGGTTCGTAGTGCGTACGGTTCGCTACAGTAAACAACAACAATTTTCTAAACAAACTCATAAAACAACTGAGCTGAGATGTTCTCCTCCTTTTATAAGCTTTTTAAATCACGCACGGGCATATTCTGATATTTTCTTGATTCTTCGCGAAAAGCAAAAGCGTGCAATTACGAGATATCTATTTATTAAAAGCTCGTGCTCCTGTATTTTTAATTTTTTCGGCGTAGCTTTCTCTTCAAATAAGTCGCCTGCAGCATTGCACGGGGAAATGAAACAATTTAATAGCAATTCAATTAAAAATAGCAAACTAAATAAATCAATACAAAAAACATAACAATACGTTAGGTATTGTATTATTAATATTAATAAGTATTTTGAATAGAATAAACATTTCTTTTAAATAAATAATATTGTTACCAGGTATTTTGCCCATGACGTCTTTTTACTTATTATGTTCTTACTCTAACCGAGCTCTTCGGAAATTAAATTACTCGCATAGTTCTCTCTTGTTGACTTTTAGGAGAAAAAATTAGTTTAAAAAAGGGGAAATATATGCGCGGAAGTATCTTGGACTAAAATACTTCAAGCTCCAGGAAACAGGAAATATTTAATCGGATTTTACTATGAACAATTTGCTTTAATTTTTCGGTTTTATTCCAAACCTCACTATTCGCATATGAATATCAAAGATTCCTTATAACCTTCACTTGAAGGGAACTTTTCTCGAGCAGAATCCTGATCAGCATCAAAACATCAGGTGACAAAAACAACGATAGTCAAAAAGAAAAAGGCAAAAAAAAAAAAAAAAAAAAAAAAAAAAAAAAAAAAAAAAAAGCTTGGGTCTCTCCCTGTTAAAATTTGTAGCTTTCTCATGCCACCTGCCAGAAAGTTCGTACTACTTTACAATCTGATCGATATAAAGCGCCTCCTCGAAAAAAGAAATATCAAGAAAAGAGCTCAATTCCTCTTTTACGCAAAAAGATGTCCTTCTCAGAAATATAATTGAACTTCAAAATTTTTCAAGAAGCATTAAGAAGAGCTTCAAACGGTCATAAATTATGTGGAGCAATTTAAGTCTCCACTCTGGGGCTAGAAGTGAAATAAAAAGAAAAAATGAATTCCAATTTTTTACGATTGTATTTTAGAGAAGGGTAAGAGTTTAACCTTTTCAAAATAGCTAAAAATTAAATATTGAACTTGTTAGATTATGTCTATAAATCAACAGTGACTGCTTTATATCGAAAGGCTGTGGCTAAAAATGATTTAATCTATCTTTATAGATTAAATCTGAATTTTTTAAAACTTTCTTGTATTTTGAAGCGAAAATTGCTTGAACTTGATCAGATATACTTTTAAAATGAAAATAATGAGATCATTAACTAGCACTAACTTAATGTTTTTAATTTTATAGGTTAGATTATTTATAGGTTATATTTATAGGTAATATTATTTTATAGGTTTTAATATATATATGTATGTGAGTAGACACTGAAATGATGATAAACAGGTAATGGTGTTTAATAATAATCGTGTTATATAATTAAAACGGAATTAAAATTTTATTGGAAATATTTAAAGCATAAAAAGTGTAAAATATATCAAATAGTATTGCAAACATTAAAAGTTTTTTGCAAATATGAAACTTAATGCTCCACCCCTTCCCCCAAAAACAACAGTGTCACAAGTTTACTTTAGATTAACAAAATTCAGTTATTTACGTACTAGCAGCAGTTAAAGAAAGAAACGTTCGATCTTTTAGATTAATGCTTTGGTTTTCGATAAGATCTGATAGAGAGCGTGCCCGAGATATCCGAATTAACCGATATGCTAGAAGTCAAGCAATACAATATTCTGAATTGCACACTGCCAGTCACTGGGGACTTGCATGGTTCGAAAGGAAAGTATAATGTTAGTCACCAGTGACTGACATAGCGTTTAACGTGTTAAAAAACTATTCACATTCGTAGTGCTACTCAAAGAAACAACATTTCTGACATTCGTTTTAGTGTTTTGCAGATTTGATTTTTTGCAGACTTGACTTTGAGCACAGAATTATACGGTTCAAGTTTAATATTGCCACTGAGCAGAAAAAGTGTCGGAAGGGTAGAAAGTACACAGGCTGTGCACGCTTAGCAATTAAGGCGAAAGTTATTGCACGGGATGCAATGACTTCAATGACGTCGAGTTGCTGTTAGCGTGTGATATGGCCAATAGGCAATCCAGAGGACATCATCTGGATGACTTTACCCGAAGTCGTTGTTCGAGCGTTCAGCAATGATCACCACGAGCAACATTGGGGGCAGATGATCGGTACATCGTCTTAAAAGTGATAAGAGACAGGTGGCAGACAGCGGGAGATATCACAAGGCACATGCAACAGACTATTGAACATCCGATATCACGTTTTGAACGTGGCCAGGAATTGCCTCAGTGTCCAGTTAGATGTGTGCTCGAAAACTATATGCCCGACGACCAGTACGGTGCATGCTATGAACGCCTGCTCATCGGGGACGCCGGTTTCTGTGATGCTAAGAACAAAATAACTGGACACAACAGGAATGGATTCGAGTGATATTTGCAGATGAGAGCAAATTTAGTCTGACGAATGATTTTGGAAGTATAAACATCTAAAAAAGTAGAAAACCTGCAATCACACATCTAAACATCATCGAAAGAGACAGTTTAGAAGGTTTCAGGATTTTAATCTGAAGTGGTAGCATACTTAGTAGCCGTATTGATCTCCACATATCCACTGATGTCCTCTATTGTACCAAGATTATGTTGACACATGTACGTCTGTTTAGAGGTGTGGATCAGCACTTCTTTTCCATGCACGACAACGCTATTACATCTCATCGTACAGCAGCCGTCGGAGAGCTCTTGAACAGTGAAGATATTCAACGCATGGCTTGAACTGCAAAGTCTTCAGACGTAAACTCCGTAGAATAAGTGTAGATCTTTGGGAGAATTCTAATAGCACATCAGTCGGCAGAAAAACTAGACCGCAGCTGAAGTTGACTCTACAAAGAAAGGACCGCAATGTTTTAACATGTTATTGACAACCTTGTCCTGAGTGTGGACAGACGTAATAATTTCTGTATCGCAGTCAAGCAAGATCATAACCTTTTCTAAAGACTGGATTTTCTTGCTTTACAGAAATTTTGCAAGTTGAAACGAAACATTTACTAACCCTTAAAATCGTCCACTTTTGGGATGTTATGATCCACATTTCATCCATGAAGAAAAACATTTTTACCTTATTTTCACCTCCACTTTTCTTTGTGTTTCAAACGAAAGCTCTGTAAGATAGGTGTGAACCCAGTTTTAAGAGGACATAATAAACATATATTAGTGCACCATATGTGGGAATGTTAGTGACCATTCAAATTTTTGTCATTCAGGAAAAGAGGAAGTAGTGAATTATATGAGCTTCAATTTTTCCAAATGGTTTGTTAAGGAATGAAAGTAATTAGAGAATTAAATTTTGATCTTTATCGTTTTCTTTTACTTGAGTGAAAATGCTCTCCATGTCATGTTCTTCGAATAAGCGTTTTTCATTCGTTAGTTCTTTTACAAAACATAAAATGTTCTTTACAAAGATTTTAAATTTTTGCTTCGCAACCATGGATAAAATTTTCCTGCAATCTGTATATGCCAGCAGAAAATTACAGATTGGTTTTGTATTCAAAAGTTAAATAAAAATTGAAAGCAAATTCTTAAATATTTTTTATAATTCATTCTTGGTGTTTTAATAATATGATCGATAAAATTATTATTCATAGGTATAACTGCGTAATTCAAGAGGAGAATCCGAATTATGATATTTATGCTGAATAATTTATTGTTTAAAATTATAAACATATTGTGAAACCGGAAAAGGACAACGAGACATTTAATAACGGCATGTGTTTTGAAATTTTAATATTATTTAAAAATATTATTCGCTTCTTTTGGTAGATCTGACAATGCAAATCAATTTGTTTAGTACCAGGATGGTATTGTCTTGAAATTTACTTTTTTTACCGTATCATTTTTGCGCCTGAATCGCTTTTCAAACTCTTACCATCAAATGCTATCGCGATGTATTATTTAAAAAAAAATTAAATAATGTATATTTTGTATGTATGTTCCTCGCATTGTGGGAAACGAAGGCAACTAGAGTCACCAAATTTTTAATACAAGTAGTTCTCCACGCGAACGGGCGCACCTCGAAGCTCGAGTTTTGAATTTCGAATTTGTTTTTGATTTATTTTATATTTTGCACAAATTTAGCGAATTTTTGTTTGACAAACTGTGCGATTTAAAAGTTAAAAATGGCAATACCGTTCGAAATAAAGCATTTTTGTCTCCAGCTTGCCATTAACTATTGCCTTTCGGCACATGAAGATATTTATCTTTAAGGCACAAATTCAACTATTTGAAATCAATGTGTTGTCATCGCCTCAGACAGAATTTTTACTATTTCCACGTATCGCAGAGTTGTCATTCACTAAAACGTAAGATATTTTATAAGGTATTTCCTTCCTCCTTTCCGCATGAGTTTTCATGCTGTTACTGGAAGCACGCGCAACGCAACGTGTATTTAGGAGGTCCGGAGTTCAAATTCCCACGATGGTGTTCCGGATTTCTTCAGTTTCCTGACATAAACAAAAATTCTAAATGATTCAAGTAGCCTCCGAACTAAAAGGTGGTGGACAATAATTCGTCAATACCAATCCAGGTTCTGACGATTTGGTCCCCTAATCCCCAGTCGCCCTTTAGAAGGGGAAGCATATAAAGTATTTCCTCCCTCTTCTCCGCATAATTTTGGAACGTAACTTGAAGGCTCAGGTGTTATACACAGGTTTGTCAGGCAACTAGGCTGGTAGCCGCATCCTATGTGTAACTTGCGTGGAAAAACATATCGTTCCTAACATAACATAGCAAAATAAGATGAGAGAAGAATCTCGTGAGATCGTGTAATGAGCCTCTCGCATATACAGATCAGTACATAAGTTCAGTTGCTCAGCGTACAATGTCCGAAGGTGATGCAAAAGCAATAAAGGCTATTGAATCGGCTAAAATGGTAACTTTGTAGAGCTCGAATTTCGGCAAGGGCACTGCATATTTTTTACATTCCTGCATCGATATAACCTAATGACTCTAGAATTTAACTTTCAGATTTAATATTTCTATTACTGAGTAACAAAGCAAGCGATTGAAAGGCAATAAATGCAAACGTAAGAACATTTTTTCTACCTTTTAATCTGTCTGATATAAATAAAAATGCATTTAAGTCATGAGATGTCTAGTTATAAATATTAAATAGTTCTAGAAAATGAGACCAGCTGGGCTCGTTATATACTTTTCTATTCTAATTCTTTTAGGCGACTGGCTACTCGAGCGGTTACTTTTCAAAGAGGTAATATAGGGTAAAATCACTAAACATTGTATGGTAACCCCTAACACTTTAATGAGAATTCTGAAGACATGCTGATTTTAAATATTTTGTCATTTTGATGTTGAACTTTACGTAAGTAGGCAAAAAGTTAAAACAAATATAAAGCTAAAAAAAGCTAAAAATAAAAGCTATTAATAATACAGCTAAAAACAAAAATAATTGTTAGAAGGAATAAGTCTAAGAGAAGACTGCTCAGCGATGTTCAGCGAAAGTGTGAAAAATCTTAAATACAACCTCTGCTGCAAAATTAAAATCTGAAACCTTTCAGATTTTCTTCTTTTCCATTTTTTTTTTATTTATTCATCATTCAGTTTTTATACGTTTCTGTAAAAATCTATGTTTTTCTTATCAAATTGGATACAGAATACCGAACTTTCGGATTCTTAAGCTTTGTTATAGTGGGTTTCGACTGCATTTACCATATTACCGGTAAACGTAACATAGAATTTAGTGTAAAACGTTTTAGGGTATTTTTGATTTTTTACAATTTCCTGTAAAACTGATTTAATAAATAATAAATGTAATCCCTTCTAGTCGAACTGATGACAGTTTCAACAGTTTTATTATTTTACTTTTATTATGTGTTACTACTGTTTGAATGTAAAATATTTTAATTAAATTATAAAAAGATTTTGAAATGGTAAATCAGTTTTTATGGAATGGTACATCACTTACCAGTTTTGTAGAAAAGCCCTGAAACTCATATTAGACCTTTCACCTTAATGGATCAATTACACATACTTAAACAACTAAATTATATAAGACACCCATCGCGATTACATCGATAACATTGCCTCTTGAATGAAAAGTCTTTCTAGTCTCCTTTATGTTTTTATCATTACTTGATAGATCAATATAATTTCCTTTTGTGTTTTTCTTCCTAGTCTAACACTCACGAGTTCTCTATTCCTGTGAAGATAGCTTTGACGGGATTCATAATCTCGCTCGAGGATGTTCAGATACAGTCAAACAACTTTTATACTTTTATGCAATATTCTGTGTTCTCTGTAATTTTCAAAATAAAACATAGTCTTTCGCAGTAGATCATTGATTTTATTCAATAGGAAAAACAAGTTTATCTTCACAAAAATACTGCTCATGGCGTCTATCTGTCCTTAATGTTTGATTTTCTATTTTAGTGTGTGGAGATATGAGGTATTTCTTGGAAGCAGCCAAGATGAAAAATATGCAACGCCTTCGCATGGAATCGAACCGCGGAACTCTCAATTACTCGTTGAGCGGGCACCACGAAGGCTCGCTAAGAAGGCGGGAAAAACACCTTGTACGTGTTATATTTAGGTCTTGATATTTAAATGCAGCCTTCCAATTGCAGTTAAAAATATTTCGAGTAGAAATTATCAAGGCCTTTAAACTTTAATTAGATTAATATTTTCAAAGAACGTGTATGCTAAAGTTTTTGAACAATTTTGTTTGCTTTAAAATTAAAACGCAAAAATATTTGATACAGTTTGAGATACATAATAGAAAAAATAAAAGCGAAAGATGAGAGAAATTCTCATAATTAAAGCTCACATTTGTAAGCAAATCTTTATTTAAAGAAACGTGAAATTCATCTATTTACAATTAAAAAAACTTCAGTGCTACAAATATTCAATAAGTTTAAATTCAAGAAATATATAAAATGAAACACAATAAAAAATTCCAAAATTATACATTAAGCCTTTACTTAAAAGATTTACTTTACATATTATTTACATTTTTATTCAAAATATTTATTATATACAATAAGATTTTATTTAAAACGAGTATGACAAATGCACTAAAAGGAAAAAGAAATAATTTATCACTACTGGGAAAATAATAGACTAAATAATTCTCTTTACCGAATTCATCTACTATTTTATATCTCGAATAATAAAAGCGAAAGGCACCCGTGATAAATTCAAAAAGGTAATGTCTTATATACATATTTAAAAAGGATACAGTTTAAAAAGATAATGTCATTCATGTTCATCGATAATGCAATTTAATTAATGTATTCCGTTATTTAGACGCCCCACGCTTTTATTATTTGAGGTATAAAATTGTAGATGAATTCTGTAAACAGAATTATTTAATCTGTTATTCTCATTAAACTATTTGATAAACAATTTTTGCCATCAAGTAGAGGTAATTGGTTATTTTATTGTTTTGCTTAAAAACAAAGAAAGTATGAGAAGGATTACTGGCAATCTGCAGTTTCTCTAAATGTATCAAAAATAGATCTGTTTCTATTGGCCATGAAATGATCGACATATATACTGTTTCATTTTTAAATAAAAATACAGGAGATATTTCCTTGTTTAATTTGTAAATTAAGGTTACTGGAAACGACACGACTATATCCTTCGCGAAATGCGCATGCTTTTACCTAGATTTCTCGGCTTAGGTTAACTTCTAATACAGTCATGCGCATATATACGCATATGTGCTGTAACAATAGACTCTACTGGTTTCGGTAGTTTGCATACAAAATCGTGTAGGAAAGAGATGAAATTTTCGTTGCGCAGGAAAACAAGAACGAGAAGTATTAAGCAATTAAAAGGGCCACTTTTAGTAGCAACGTAGTCTGTAGTTCAAACATCGGAAAGAAAAAAAGAAAGGTGCTTTGGAATGTTGTAACAAACACTAAAAAGTGACGCAAAAGACAGTTTTTGCATTAAAATGACAACAAACTAACCTTTTTGAGTAAAGAGCACTCCAACCTTGCGCGACCAGCATGCAAAATCCCATGCTAGGAATATAAAGAACTCTCTCTGCAACGACGAAGCCCACAGAAAAAAACAGGTTGCTCGCTGGCACGAAAGGAAAGACGATTAGAGATATGCTCTGCAAAGAAAAAAGGGAAACTGTTCAGAATTCAGCAAGAGACAGGAGAAAAGTAAACTTTTATGGACATAAATTAGGCAAAGAATCACCTTGTGATTCACCTTCCGTAGATTTTAACCTTTCGTTTGGCGTAGCCTTGCTTAAAATCTGGTCTAATTTGTTGACGCCATACATAAGGTTGCTTTGCCTAATTGTATGTCTTATTTTGTCATATTGCTGTTCTCTTTTGTAACTTTTATGGAATTTAATTAAGCTCCGTTCCAGAAACAATATACGTGAAAGAACTTTTTTATAATAATTTTAAAACAGGTTTACCATAATAATTGCTGCTTTGGCATCATCTTCTAATTTTACAGCGTTCCTGGATATGTAAAGTACAGATGCATACAGTCCCAGTGTTGCGATATGCCTGAAGTCCCAGAGATCTGTAATGAGGGGAATTGTAGACATTGTCCAGTCGCAGCAGAGATGACAGGGAAAGAGTAGCAGCCATGCGTTCACAGCCAATAGATAGTTGTAGGTCATCTGACGTGTAGGCGTTGAAGAAACCGCAGCAGGATTGTCAAATCTGTGACGAAATAACGAACAGTCAGATATACCGTATTTCCTCACATGTTTCCCACCTATATTCTTATAGCTGAACATTTTAAAAATACTCGAGCAATTTTCCCTTTATTAGTGCATTTAGAGAACACGCATCCCTAAATTTTAAAATGCGTTCGCTCATGTAGCCAATGTTTTCTTCTTACTATTAACAAACAAACTCACGCAAAGTCGCTGTGAAGTCAACCGGAATCTTTTTTTTCCAACCGTTGAACTTTTATGTCAGCTTAATTTAAGAACCGACCCATCACAAAAGCAAACACAAACTGACATTCGGTCTATGATTTCACAGACTCGGCTGCACTTCCTCCTTCTCTAATTCTTAATGGAGAGAGACAACAAATAAGAACGGACAAGATTCAAGCTACAGGTAAGTATCGATGAAGATATCTTAGATATTGCAATGTCAATATTACTACGCATTCTTATGGGAATATAGGTTTCTTTTAAACAAATAATATTGTGAGAATTAACCTGTTATCCATAAGCTTTTATTTAGTTTACTCATTTCCCTGTGAGTAGAATTTTATTATCGATTTTTAAATTACCTACCTGAGGGCCATCCGTAGAATAACATAATATATGAAATTCAAACAATAGGGCTAACATTCAAGTGATTCAGTTCAATAAGGGTTCGCAGCATTCTGGTAGAATTCATTTCTCATTAAAATTTGAAGTAAAGCATTTCGTTTCAGTGAATCAAATATAAAATGGTGGGCCACCGGTGTCACTTCAATACCGTATCATATTTGGCACGGTGGGCCAACGGGGAAGTACCTAAAGTGTATCATATATGATACTGAAGTAGTTAAAAACTTTTAAAATAAATTGTTACAATCTTAATCTCAACTTTTTACTTCCTTATAAGAAGTAAAGGATGTATCGTAAACATAAAATTTCAGTCATCGCATTTCAACGGAAATATCCATTTTGACTATTCTTTATGTGACGCCTGTACATGCGGACATAAAAATCACTCTTTATTCCAATGTAGATTGTAAAATGAATTCCAAAAACATTTTTTGTGAGATCTGTACGTACGTACGTACGTACTTATCTCCCATAACTCAAAAACGATTAGTCGTAGAACGTTGAAATTAGTTGTATGGGACTGCTATAACCTCTAGTTATGCACTTCCCTTTTTTATTGGAATCGGCAGTACCGAAAGTATATATATATATACCAATCCTCTTTACCGGGCTTAAAACTCCTTGCCGGCCTTCATTTTCGCAATCATTGGTAGTAGTCATACAGTTCCAGTTACAAAAGTGTTTTAAATGACGAAAATATTCATGTTTTCGTAATGTCAAATTAAAAAAAAATTATTATTTACATATTGAGAAGAATTGGTTATTTAAAGTATGATATTTCGAAGAAATAAGTTTAAATGAAGTGCAGCAAAAAATGTGTATCATTTAATAGTCCCTACAAGGAAGTCATGTTGTGTCCACGTAGGAATTTTAAATTGTTTTCAGAAGCTTACCTGCTAAAGATGGGCATCCGCGTTCCCATAATCCTCCACCTGAAATACACAGCTGAGATAAATACTCCTAGCAAAATCAAACTTCTTAATGCTTTATCCTTCCACCAAGGCGAGACACTGTTGCGACCTAAAACCATACTTTGCACCCGGCCAGGGATCTGAAAAGCAAAATAATGTAAATAACTACGTGTGGATCACGACTGTCTTAATTTATTAAACACTAATAAGAAAAAAAATCTTAATCACTATGATCAAATGATGAAGAACGTGTATGTTGTTTCTTGCATTATGAAAAAACGGCTGCACCTTAAGAGCCACCAAATTTTGAAAACCCATAGTTCTTCACCTGGATGTGTATACCTCAAAGTCTAGACTGATTTGTTTTTATTTATTTTTTGTTTAATGCAAATTTAATGTATCTTTTGATAAACAAAATAAGCGATTTTAATAATAAGTGAATTTTAATAGTAAGCTAACAAGTAATATATGGTGTATGCTCTAAATAAAACATTGTTTCCTTCGAGGGCCAGTGGCTCTCATTCGATAAAATATGCAATATATATCTCTAAAATTTAATCAATAAACTGTTGCCACTGCAAAATGTTGCCACTGTCGAAAATAAATACTTTTATCTTTGGCGATTACAGCCACAAACATTCGCCAAATAAGTTTTTTTTGATTTTGAAGTTTACTACTTGTGTTACTGATTAAAAAAAGCAGTTTAAAAGCAATAAACTCACTTTTTACTAATATTTTCATTACTTCTTAATCTGACTGATTTGAATAGTTATAAAAAACAATTATCTTGCCTATCTAGAATTGTGCTAATAATTTATGAGGTAATTGTTCAATATTCAGAAAGTTTAGAAAGTCCAGTCTAATATACCGCTTGGTTTTTAGCTTAAGTAAAAGAAGAAAGGAATTTTACTACAGAAGTAATTAATATATATGATGAATGCTACCGAACGACCTCGAAGAATTTGATGTATCAATCATCAAATTCTCGATAAAAGAAATAAAAGTAAAATAAAACAATGAATATATGAGCTATTTTAGATTATTTTTAGTCTCAATGTTCTAAAATCAGTACCATAAACTAGTCCAAACACATGCTTTAATTTTCCAAATTTTAAAGGTATGGAACTTTACATGTAGATTTATTAAAATATATTGAATATTTTATTAATTAGATATTTTACACGATGGAGGTTATAAAAATAATATTGTAATATTTATAAAAAAAATGTAAATATTATATTTTACTACCTACACAAACTTCTTTAACTTAGTGGCACTTGTGCACAAACAAAAAAGCAGAGACACTGGCACATAAGAAACATCTACTGTTTTGGATGATCAATAGTAGTTTGTTTAGTTTAGTGGCAGTTCCGCACAAAACTACGACTTCTTGATTATCATTCGCCAACTTCGAATTTGGAACAGCGCTTGGAGTAATAATTTGCTTTATAAAGATTTGAGCTACTGAAGGGCAAAAATACAGTTTTTAACAAAATATTTATATTAGTATATACGCGTAAGGCGAGAAGAATAATAAATACCTTAAGAAGTTAGCTACTTTTAAAATATCCCCAAAGTACAATGCATTTTAAATTTTGCGTACTTATTTCGATATCCTTAATAATGTATTTGCTGCTTTTATTTCATATCCCAAATATTAAAATATTTTAAGCAAAACATCTTTCTTATCATTCACTTAATAACGTAATATGTACTGCACGGAGCATTATGTAAACAAATCAGTATACAAGGTCCCCCCTCCCGGTTTCCAGAATAGAAAAAAAAATGTACAACTGAAATGACCTACGTTAAAAATAATAGGATTATGTTTTTAAAATAATTTTTTTATTTATATTTATTTCCATAACTCCATCGATTATTCTTTAACATACCTGAAGATAATTTCTAAAATGTTCAGGTGAAAGACATAGTAGTAGCTCATTGTAACTCAGTTAGGGTTTACATAGTTGGTTAAATCTGTTCTGAAATTCTGACCAACGCTTTCAGATCTTAGGACATCAACCAGTGTCCTAAAATATACTTACTGTATCTTAGTTGTTGTAGAGTTGAATGTCACACTTGTCTCATATTAGCATTCCTTTAAAAGTGTTAAGTTTCAGATAAATTAGCCATTTATCTTCACTTCAAAACGGAAAGAATAATGATTTATTATCCTTTAAAAAAAGAAGCAACTATTACAGGAAATACATTGTTGACATTCTTTTGTATTTGGAATATGCCAATTCTAAAAACTAAACTTTTACATTATTTTCATACTGTCAAATTTTTACATCTGATAGATTAATACAGTAAACATACAACAAGAACACAAAGAACGTAAGGGTAAAAATAAACGTAAGTAACGTAAAGATGATTTCCTTTATGAATAGAATGTGGTCCTAATATTCTAATCGTGAATAATTTTAACGGTTAATAATTTTTATTAAAACTGGCAAAAATTCTGCAAAATATATGAAAAATACAAAAATTTTCAATCGAAGATATCCATACAGTTCGTTAACCCAGTATTCAGTTTCGGAAGCTCAATGTAAGAGTTCAGAATAACATTATACACTCTAGATTAATGCACTCTAGACTTTTCGGGCTAGAGCAATGCAAGCAGGTCACGGATAATTGAAAAAAAAAAAGGATAATCCAAACTATTAATTTTGATGCATATTATATGTGTTTATTTCTTTAAAAAATCGTCAAAATTTGAAGCCAAGGGAGCATAATTCAGTTTATACCGTAATCCTTCGGGTATTTTTCCCTTTTGTTTTACTAATTTTATCGTCCAAAAATCGAGAGAAAAAAATACGAAAATTGTTTAATTTCCGAAAAACGTGGTTTCAGTAAAAATGTAACAAACGAAAATTAGTCATGGATAAACTACAGTAATTATTATAATATTATTTCTTTAAAAGAAAACCTATTTTAAAGAAATACATAGTAATATTACTATTATGATATCTAATAACATATTTTCATTGCTACTTCCCTATAAACTACAGTAATTATCATAATATTATTTCTTTAAAAGAAACCTATTTTAAAGAAATACATAGTAATATTAATATTATGATATCTAATAACATATTTTCATTTCTACTTTCCTATAACTTGAAACTTGCCTGTTTTAATTATTGTCTAAGATATTCCTTAGGTCTCAAATCATCAATCAGTAAAGATTAATAATGAGCACATGACGTATACATAACACAAATAAAAACAAAACAAAAACCAACGACGTGTCAGGCAACTACAATACAGCGGCCATAATATGACGTGACGTTTTATGGCTTCACTTTCATTACACGGACCATACAGGGAAGATTTAATTCATGTATTCTGCCCTCCTTGGTGGACACCGCTACGCACGTGTAATCTGCAAACCGGATAATCCATAAATGAATAATCAAAATACACTGTATAGAGAATTGGACGGACCAAAAGGTTCTTTCGTTATAAGCCATATCCGTTTTTAGGAAGATTGGACAGTGAAATAAATGAGCTTATACAGAACTGATACGTCACCTTTGGTACAATCCACTCATAGATGCAGCAAACGACCAGGACAGTGACTGCTTGTTCCTTACAAAGAAGTCCTAGCATCGCCAGTACAGAAGTCACACCACAATCTTGCCAAGCTGGGAAACAAGAGAAGACGATTATATATTGACAATAATTTATTAATATTCTGGGGAAAATGTATCAGCAAACTTTTTAATTTAGAAGATGCGTTTAAATAGTTCGCAATAATTTTTTGCTTGACACTTGTAATTTTAAGTTTAATATACTCTCATATACTCGTATATGCAAAATTCTTAAACGAAATATTTATTTGTAGAATACTAAAAGCAAATTAACACTTAAACAATTCCTAACTGAAATATTTATTTAGAAATTAATAAAAGACAATAATTAAACTATTTCAATATAATAAGAAACACGTAAATAACAAATTTTGAAATTTTTTATTGATAAAATAGAAACATAGTTTTACTTACAGAAATATTAAAAAAATACGCAATGTCAAACATCGTACACAAATAAGATCCCAATAAATAGGTACTCGTTACTAATGAGATTCTTGAGACTGATGTATCGATATTTGCATATTAATACCTGACACAAATTCTGTGAGAGTCAGAGAAATATTCCCGCTTTTCAAAAGAGTTATTAGTCGCAAAATAGGATTTTGCGTTGATTCACTACAAACAATGTATCACTTTTTGAATTTTTCCCACTAAATATTATTGCCCTGTATTACTTTTAAACAAATTAATTACTGAAAAATCTGCATGCTTGTATGTATCTTCCTCGCATTGTTTAAAAACGACGGTACCTAGAGCGCCATCCAATTTTGAATAATGTAATCTTCTATCCGAACATGTGCACTAGAAGCCAGATTTCTGAATTTCGAATTTGGTTTATTATTTATTTCGTATTGTAAAACTTTAATGAAATTCTGATTTACACACTCAACAATTTCAAGGTGAGCATAGTGGCGTCACCATCGAGGGCAGTGGCAACTCTGCTCGAAAAAAACGTGTTGTCTCCAGCATGTTAACTAATGTCATTCGGGAAAAATGTAAAATTTTAATTTACAAACTTTCAATTTTTGATTTAAGACACTTGACTCTGTGAAAATAATGTGTTGCGGCGGCCGGAAGTAAATTATCTTTATCTTACACGCGCTATCGTGTTGGGGTTCAGTAAAGCTTAAAGCTAATATAACATCTAATCTGGAAGGTTATTGAGTAATAAATAAGCGATTTAAAAGCAATAAACACAATTCTTAAGAAAATATTTCTCTAGTTTTCATTGTGATTGATTTAAATAAACATGTATTAAAATCATCAGATGTCTAATTAGAAATATTCAATATATTAGCTAGACTATGAAATGAAATTATACTAGCTGGACTCATTGAAAGCAATATGTATTTTTTTGTTTTTATAACAATTATTTTAGACCGTTGGTCGCGCAAACGGCTAGTTTAAAAAATAATATAGCGATTATAAAAATATGGCAACCTATAACATTCTACCGGAAATTCTAATGATATGCAGGTTTTAAACATTTTGTGATTTTGTTGTTGAATTGAAATTTATCTGGCGTAAGGGCGAAGAACGTGATATTTAATAAATAAAGTTAAAAAAGACGAAAAGAAAATCTGAAAGGTTTCAGATTTTAAATTACATCCAAAGGGGCGTTTTTTAACATTTTGTCTGTTACCTTTATTTATTAAATATCACGTTCTTCGCACTTAAACCGTAAAATTCAGTTCAAGAGCAATATCGCAAAATAGTTTTAAATTGAGCATATCTTTAGAATTTATGATACAGAGTCTCGCGGGCTGGAGATAAAAATGTTTTTCTGTACAACGTTGCTATGGCTTGCTTTGAAATCCTTGAATTTGTTAATAAAAAAATCGTTAAAGTTACGAAATATGAAATCGATAATAAAAGAAATTCTAAATTTCAAATTTGGGCCTCCACATGCCCATATTCGCAGTAGGAATACGTCATTCAAAATTCGATGACTCAATGTAGCGTGGTTTTATCACAATGTGAGAAATATACCTACATTTATGCAGATTTTTCATTATTTAATTTCTTCAAATATAATGCAGGACTCTAACATTTGTGGCAACAGTTTAAAAAGAGAAACGGACATTTATAGTGAACGAACGCAATATCGTAAAACGAAAACAATAGTACTTCAGGGACAAACCCCTTTGGACTAATAGAAAACAAAAGAAAAATTGTTGTTGGCAGTCTTACTAAGAAAACTGAATATTGGTACTGTTACGGATTTGGTATTTAAATAGCTAATGTTAGTTGAATTGTAATTATTTCCCACGCAGTGCAGCGCGTGACGAATATTAAAAGAAAGCTAAGCCGAAAAATTGAAAATACAAGAGCGTGTGCGTGTAACATTTAATAAATATCTCTTTTTGATTTCGAGAAAGTACTAGAAAATTCTCGCGCGCGATTTTAAAATCTTATAAATAAAAGGAAAACCTCTCAATTCGATGATTAGTTAGTTTGTTGTTTAGAAAGCTGCTCTTGTTGACTGTAGCGAATTCGCGGATTAGCTTTCTCTAGCTGTTTTGAATTAAGTTCTTTTGAACGTTTGAGTAGTTAGAAGATGACTACTGTGATATATTGTGATACTGCACGATTATTTGAGGACGTTTAAGCATATTTGTTGTGATAATAATAAATTTTGTTCATTTTTCATCGGACTTGTGCATTCATTTTGTAACAAACCCGTACGCAAGCAACAGTACCTTAAAATGAGAAAAGACTGAAAAATGCATAAATGTATGCCAACACATAACACTGCGTCGGGAATTTTAAAACTGTGCTGCTCTATAAATTCTGTGATTTTGTTACTGAATTTTGTATGTGGCGTAAGTGAGAAGAAACCAATGCTTAAAAATAAAGCTAAAAAAAGGAGGAGGGCTATTATTTAACTATATCTTCCCCAAATAGATTCATTTTTGTGAACAACTGAGCTACACGACTAAAGCCAAATTCTAAATAATGGGAAAACAATTGCATACTTTAAGCATCAGAGATTGAGTTTTGAATAGGAATTTGAAAAATAAAAGTTTAAAATATATAGATATAAATTTAAAAATAGATTGAAAATTATATTTTTCATTGGTGATTTAGCTGCACCACTGGCTGACCCTGGGGAGACGCTCCTCGCAGGTACTTAAGAACACAAAATTTACTAGAACAATAACGCTTCTTTACAACGATACAAGTTAATCGATATAGAATAAAACGATTACTTCTGATTGACTATCTTATTATAGGCTAGGTGGCGCTCAAATAATGATTTCTTCTTTGAAAATATTTTATAGACAGATTTTTTTTTCTTTGTTAACTAAAGGAGGAATCAGAAAGTACGAGTATCGTGAATTTTTGGATTTTTCTATGCTGTTAGTTGATTTTATTACTATTATTAAATTACTTGTAGGATTCGTGTTGTAACTGAAAGCTTAAGTTCTGCAGACCTTACTAGACTTACTTATAGCGAGTTATCGCTAGGTTTTTAATAACTTCAAAACACTAAAAAAAGGTTAAAATGATATTTTTGTTTAGTCTTAAATGTAACAGAATAGGCAAAACTTGTTCTACATACGAGCTTCCACTACTTATGGGTATTTATATTAACATAAAAAGTTAAATAAAATCGTAGAAACGTAGACTAAGACTATACTTAAAATAGTCTAATAAATATCTAATTTAAGTTGCCTCAGATATCTGTGCGCATTTTAAAGCATTGACTAACGAGATGCTAAAGCTGGAGTATGTCTTAAAGCAGAATTGGAGAAAATAATTAACAGCAATGATTGCTAGAAGCTCTTATCTAATATTCAAAATTCTCAGCTTAAATCCACAAATCTTCTTATCATTCTAGTGAGGAATACGGAAAGGAGAAGTTATACTAAAGACTTAATTCATAACAACTGGCTCATTAATATAAGATACCTTTCATATTTCATTAATGGTATTTTATCATGAAACCTATAGTTCATTGCAAGGACTCCTGAAATACAATTTTTTTCCTGTCGATCCTCTTATATGAACTCATGCCCTTCCAGTGGACCCCAAGGAGAACCCTCCGCGTGGAGCTTCTGTGCTAATTTTTATTAAGTGTAGAAACCATTATAATTTAATAGTTCTCTTTTTTAACCATTTTGATCCTTTATTAAAACTGATTCGTTTTCCGTTATAGGTAACATGGTGCAGTAAATAAATAAATGAATTCTTTGTATAGCGGAAAAGGTTCACACAGTTATCTCTAAATGATGATGAATGGTTAACTTGCATTTTAAGAATTTATTTGCATGTTCCATCTTTAATTTTGTGAGGAATTAAAGGCTTAGTAAATTTTAAAAACCATGTATTTTAATATGATAAGAAGTTCCATGTACATCATACATTATGAATAAGAAATGAGAGTAAGGGCTTAATATTGTGAGAAGAGAGGGTTTATAATATAAATAGGCAGAAAAATTACCTTGTGTAATTAAATTTGCTAGATGCCGAGAGTAGATTAAATTTCTTGGAAAATGTCCTTCATTTATCTTTCTGAAAGATGTAATATATGTATCTGCTAAGAGAGGTGTTGCTATGGGTTTGCTTTTTACTGTATGCAGATGAAGAATAACGAAGTAAAAATGATTAATCTTAAACGACGAAGAAATTGGTATTTATGTTATAAAGAATTATTAATTGTATTTATGAGTCTGTAATTCTTTGGTAGACTGAGAAATTTGAAAGAAATAAGTACATTTCGAATCAAGTAAAATTATTTTAATACTGTATGTATTTAATATAAATTAAACCACATTTAATTTGCATTCCATTGAAATGATAATGTTTGCACCTATGTTGAAATTAATGAAAAAATATTCTGACGTCATATAATACGAACTTTGTATTGAATAATAGATCTGAATTTTTATAACAATAAAATTATTTCTTCAAATACTTATCCGAGACATATATTTTCATACATTTCATTTCATAATGATAAAATTATTTCTTTAAATGTTCGTCTTAGCCGTGTACTCTGAATCATTTCGCAACATACTGGCAAAATTCTTTTTTAAAGAATAGTCTTAGACCTATAATCTGATTTGTTTGGTTATAAAATGATAAAATTATTTCATCAATATAGGCCTTAAATATATATTTTGAATCATATTCCATCATAAAGATAATAAAATTCTTTCTTTAAATATTAGTCTTAGGCATGTACGGTGTCTTCGGCATCAGTCTTAGGCATAGTTCGGTTCTATAATAAAAAATTACTTTAAAGATTGGTCTTAGACATGTATGTTGAACCATTTCTCGTCATAATAACAAAATTTATTTAAATATTCATTTCATACATGTACTTTGTAATTTCATTTCACAATCATAAAATTATTTCTATAAATATATAACATTTTTTTAAATATTGGTCTTAGGCATTTATTTTGAATAATTTAGCATCATACTAACAAAATTATTTCTTTAAATATTAGTATTAGACATGCATTTTTTATAGTTTGATTTTAATAAAATATTAGTTCTTTAAATATTTCTCTTAGACATGTACTCTAAACCATTTTGCATCACAGTGATAAAATTGTATACTCAGATATTTTCTTAGAAATGTACTTTTAATCATATAATAATCAAATTGTTTCTTAAATATTAGTCTTAATATTGTACATTACAAGTATTCGTTACACATGCTAATCCATTGCACTAGATATAATATTCTTATTTCGTACAAAAATCCTTTATTTTAACATTGCTCTTTATTTAATAATTCGTATACTTCAAAATAAGAAGAACCTGTATGATTTGAAAACTTAATGCAGATCAGCGTACAGCAAAATATCGATAAGCTCGATAAGCGTACAGCAGTGATGACAAACCTTTTGAGTTCGAAATATCAAAATTAGGAAAATTTCTAGCTTATCTCTGGTGAGTGTCGTTCTCAAATGCACTCGAACTCACCCAAGGTAAGCGCAGCACATGTTGACTGACATCACTAGCGCACAGTATCTGTGCGGCAAGTTGGCAATCAAAATATGTGGAGATCCAAAAATCCTCTCGAAATTTTGGTGGAAGAAGAAAACGTATGCGAGACCATCACACTGTCGCTTCCACGGGTGTCCTTTTTTCAAAACTAGGGTGAAAGCTTAACACTCAGCAAGACTCGGGGACACCTATGCATCTAAAACGCTGCCTTGTTTCAATTTATGTCTGCGTTATTGGATATTATGGATACTTAAGTATAAGTATTTGAATTTTAGATATCCTACAAAAATTGTAATGATTAACATTTGTTAAATTTAAATTGTACTAGCAAATAAATAATAAACTTTTCAATAATTGCTTGCATCTTCTTCAAGTTTACCTTTCTCTTAAGTACGAAGACAGGAATTCATCAGAGCAAAAGAAGGTTAAACAGTGTAGTTAGGATTAACTTTATCACACTAGTGACAATATAAGATATCTGTGTCATGAATATGATATATGTCTTAGGATACCTACGTTCGCTATTTTTATCTATGCGTTTATTTCAATGATTTTAAATTGTCGTTTAGGTTACATTAATAATATTTTTAATAACATAAGTATATGTTATAATAAAAAGTCTTCATTAATTGTTACATATTTACTATATATGGGGAAATATCGAAAAAAAACCAATAATTAAGGAACAGAATTTAATTACTAATTTCTTTTCGTTCACGTTTCAGTTAACAGATGGAATTAATTTTTTTAAAATTTTAATAGAACCTTCTGAAATGTTTTGAATGTTTTATCGCTTAGGGACATTTTTCTGCCGTCACTTTGACTTCTGAAGCTGAACAGGAAAGGTTTATTTACCTCCTAAATTATAGTACATCATATTTGTTCACGTTACTCGATACTTGTTACCAGCGCTTAATTTCTAAATTCTGAAATGTCGAAATCCGTCGAAGGCAATCAGGAGACAGGAGCAAAAATATATAAATGAAATTAATAATAATTAAATTGAAATTCTGAAAAAGGTAAAAATAAAGTCGAACCTCATCTTATTTGAGGCTTCGGCCGGAATTACAACTCCGCTCAAAACCTAAGCAGTTAGTTTAGTCTTAATCTGGCTGGCTTTAAAACCAGAATATGCAATATATTGTACTATTTAAAGGGATGAAAGAAACAAAAACTATTGTTTTCCAGTGCTACGAAAAAAATGGTAAAATAGTTTAAACTAGTGAGAATAGAAAAAATGCTAGAAACAGTATGGAAGGAAATTTTAACGGAGCTGTGTAGGTATGAAAACAAAGTGAGAAAGTGCTTCCTATACTTTCACCACGATCCCATAACTATATTCTGCCGATTGCAACACAAAAGGAAGAAGGTAGCAGTCCCATATATAAAATTTCAACGTTCTGCGGCTAATCGTTTTTGAGTTATGCGAGATACATAAGTATGTACTCGCGTATATGCGTCAGGACAAATATCCATTTTGTATCTATTTTAACCCATTTCACAATCCGTTTTGGAATAAAATGTCCTTTATTCTGCATACGTTTGTCACGCAAAAAATAGTCAGAATGGATCCGGGAACTTTAAAATAGATATTTCCTTTGAAATCTAATAGACGAAATTTTTTGCAATTACAATTATTCCTTTATCTCCTTCAAGACAGTAAAAATTTTCTACTGAAATTATGGTTCACTTACATAAAAGAATTAGTGGGAGCTCTTTTATTTAAGGCTCCAGTATACTCCTGCCAGAGTTACGATTTATCTCAAACCTGAGAAGTACCGAGCCGGGATCTGATGGACAGTCTCGCAATTTAAGCTCTTTTTGTAACTCATTATTATTTTCTTGAATATATGTCGTATTTGCATCATCATTTGTAACATATACTCGAAGATCTCTGAGGCTTAGACTTCTTCTAATAATAGACTAGCAAATTTTCCGAAGAAATGTGTCAATACGATAAATTAAAATGTCCGTTTATTAATAAGGTCTACAATTCACATCTTTAATACAGATTAAGAAATATTTACTGATTTCTTCAATTAGCATGGAGAAGAAATTATTGCGTAATTATTTTTACTACCATCATTTGAATGCATTAAGACACATCTGGCGTTTTAGAACTGAAGAAATACGAACAATTATCTGTTGAGAGATAATTAGGAAAAATTTAATAAAAATTCTCAAATCAGATAAATTATCTGTTACCTTACATAAAATAATTATTGCTTCTTTAAAAGACTTACTATTTGCTTTATGGTGGTATCTTTTCTGGATGTAAAAGAGTAAGGCACCAACGAAGGCAGCTGCCGATAGAAGTTCCGCTCGACCCACCACGCCAGTCACCTAAAATGCAAGAAAGACTTCAGCGGAAAAACAAACTACACACGGAAAAAAATGCGCAATAAGTACGTTAAATTCTAGACATAATACATAAGAAACCGTTACCTTTTTATCCGTAACTTTTCAGGATTAATTTTAGTCAGAAAAATTTTAAAAGAACAAGAATATTTGCTAACAACATCAAACAAAGAAAGCTATCGGATTTTTTTCGACAACAATTACCAGAAAATACTGAGATGATCAAAATATGTGAGCGATGGTTAGGTAAAGTTAATTAAATATGGAAAAGCACATTGAGGGCTATCTATCTAACGGGAGGGATGCCTTTGTGGAGGACTTTTTAAGGGAAATTGTCCCATATTTACAATGGGACCATATTTACAATGCATGGGGAAGAAACACTCAGCATCATAAATAGCTATCGACAGCTGAAGGAGAAAGCGGAAAGTGGATATTAAGCACTTCCTCCTTAGGACATGAAAAATAAAATAAATTTCCAATATCATACACGGAGTAAATTAAGTAAAGCTAACTCTCTTTAAAGCGCAAACTGACAAAATCGATTAACAGTTGACTGACCGGACAATGCAGAGCAACAGAATTCAGTCCATGAGGTGATTCCCTTGACTGACGATTCCAAATTCTACGTAGGTTTCAGTATCAATTAATACATTTCAGGTCGTGGTTCCTTGCCCTCATATATGTGCACTGAAACACAACAAACAGCGGTAATTGCCTTTGTGGAGAAAGAATGAATTCTGATCGTTTATACATACGAATAGCCCATTCGCTTAAAATCTACACTGTAGACCATCCATAGAGAAAGTCAAAAAGTCATAGAATGTAAAATCTACCTAACAAAAACGGAGGACCTGAACAACGGGACGAACAAAATTGAGCGAAAACAAAAAAAAAGGGCGAAAAAAACATCTGCGAATCTGAAGATTAGAGAGCTTGGCTACGTTAATCAGTTCTGCAAAACCTGCATCAGTTGAAAATCATAGAAATAAGCCTCCTAATTTATCGTATTCCATACCATGAACTTTCTTCGATGAACTAAGTAACGATGCGAGTACAATAATTGTACAGAGGTAGTACATAATGAGTATACCTGATGACCAACGGTATACAGACGTCCTTCATGGCAATAACCTGTACCTTTATCTGTCCCATGATATTAACCCAAAGTTCATCCTTGCCGTTCTGTGAAGTTTTGAGACAAATTCAGTGCGGTGTTGCCAAATAAATGGTATTCATTTTGGAGCTTATTCTGTGTAGGGTTAAATAACATTTAAATTTCTAGTTTTGGTTAAACGTTTTATAACCCTACCTCTATATATCTCGTTTATAAATCTATGTTTTCATTTAACTAACTCACAGTCAAAATTATTATTTCGCTAGCTAGAATCTTCATTATACAAAGACCGCGTAAAACTACAATTTTATTCTTATCATTATCGTTGCCATCATGATTATCATCTTCATTATTGTAGTTATTGAATATGACCCATTTACAGCACTGGGATTTATTTCATGGCATTATAGCATACTATGCGCGCGCATGCTATTGCAATAGCATACGCATATCATACTGAGTGCAGTCTTGCTTAGAATAAAGTATACGATACTATGAAACAAATCTAAAAGTTATAAAGTATACGATTCTATGAAACAGATCTCAATGTTGTAAATATCTCCATTCTTAAATCGATATTTAAGGAACTCAAACAAGTACGTATTGTTAGAGAAGATAAAGCAAAAACAATCAGCATAATATTCATAAATCTGAAGACTATTTCGAAGATTTAAAACATACAAAGTTCTTCTTCAGCTGCAAAAGTGCAAATGACGATAAAAAAGTCAGTAATAAGATAAGGCGATAAGAATGAGAGGAAGAAAGTGTAGCTACTGACGCCCTCTCCTGACGAAAAACGTAAACAACTATGAACTAATTTCCTTAAAAGCTGAGGGTAAAGGCATATTAGAATTGGGATCCTCAACTAGAATAGTTAGATTTTTATGAATGTAAAACATCTCTAGAAAGTGTAATCCGCCAACGAAAGTTTTTTGTTTTTGAATAATTTTATTGTAAAAGAATAGAAAATGCCATTTTATGATTAACAGTGTTGGGGAACGGTAGAATTTCTTTACTAATTATATGCTTCATGTTTATCACTGGCTTCTCTTTCGTCATTTTTACGTCTGCAGCTGGAGAAGGAGGTTCTGCACCTTTGAAACTAGTCCTAAAAATTTATGAATATTACGCTGATTTTTTGTTTTGTTTTAATTCCCCTAATAATCGTTATTCGACGAGTTATTTCAACCGAAAAAGTAAATACTTACTTAGAACACTTTTGCATATATCATTAAATTATATATGAGTATTGAAAGATCCCCCACTAAATCGTATGTCATTACTTAATGTGGAATAATTTGATATCAAATATAGGTAAACCCCACTTTTTTTTTTCCTTTTCTGCCTTTGTTTGGCTAAGGGAAAATAGCGAAGAATCTGATTAATTTAAAAAGTAAGGATCTTAAGTTTTACTAACGTTTATTTTATTTTAAATCTTTACTATCACTTCTTATTTTCTACTTCCGGCCAGAATTATAAGCGTTAAGGTTTTTATGCAAAGTTTGTCTGGCGAACGCCAAGTATTTAAGTTGTGGCTTTTTGCCAAGCGAGAGAGAGGAAGCAGTGAGTTCGAAGCAGGCCGCTTACCTTAGAAGTTACGCAGCTGCTTTGCCTTCCAGGCCAGAGGTTTTAATCCTCTTGATAAATTTAAACGTATTGTAGTGTTCACAGTTCTCTGTACTACATACGCTTCCTGTTAATATAAGGCCAATCTTCCACGTTTATTATTCTAAAGTTAAATTAGAGTTTAGTTTTATTTTATTTTATACTTTTACGTTAGACCCCAAGTAGGAGGGTCAGTGTATTCCGAAGTACGGAAGTTATTGTATATAGAGAAAAATAAAGGGTTTTGTATACCCTTCGTCTGTATCCTGTCTACTTACCCACAATTAGTGAACATAGCTTTAGTAAGCTCTCTGTTCCGAGTCAGGTCCTTGTATGTTCCCGAAGAAGGTAAGAAGGAACATTGAACCTGATAGTGGCGCCCAACGAAGAAGAATAACCATGGCCGAGTTTCAAGAAGAACCTGTGCTGCCTGCAGAAACGGCTCAGAATCCAGAAATGCCAGCTGCCGCCCTGGAAGGATTTGGTTACATCGTCCAGACCATGCGCGCTTCGATGAAACCAGAAGCAACATTTAATGGAAACTCACCGGTAACCAGTTTTTTGGAAAAATTGGATGACCACTTCATGCTCTACCCCGTGCACGAGTTTCAAAAAAGTTACCTTAGCTACCAGCGCTTTGAGGGGCCAAGCGCTTAACTGGTTCAAATGTATAGGCAGAAGTCTCTTGGGTCAAGCAGGAAGTCCCACCTATACTTACGAAAATTTCAAGACTGCCCTACTAAAAGCCTTCCCTGTTGTAAGGGATCGTGCGAAATTAGAAACGGAACTTTTCAGTATATATCAACAAAGAATCGAAAACCTCTCTCGAGCTTTATTTTAAGAAAAATTCACGTTTTCAAGCTCTTGTATGGAAACCGTCCGGATCCTGAAATAATTCAAGTGATTTTGCCGAGGTTACTACCCCAAGTGCAAGACTTTATTGAATTAAGAAATCCGACTACACTGGAAAAGTTATTTGAGCTAGCAATCCAGTTTGAAAGTAGAAGAAAAAAAGTATCAAATCAAGGCCAAGTGGAAAAAGCGAAGTGAAAAAGAAGCAAGGAAAGGAAAAAAAATAAAGTTTAAACTAAAACGGATTTCTGCTGACGAGAGGGTGCGGAAATCCGAAGGCCACGAAAACCCCTCTTCCTACAAGTTAAATACAGTAATGGTGAAAAATTTGACTCTTCCGAAGATTGAAGTCTTGGTGAATAATATCCCAGCCACCGCACTCCTGGATACAGGCGGCGCGCAGTGTTCCTGTGTGGCAGAAGATTTTTTTTTAGGAAAGTATTTTCGCAAATACCGCATATATAATTCGGATAATACGACAGTGTTAGCGGCGCAAGGAGAAAAAATGTAAGTGCGTAGGTAAAGTACCTTTGTATATCCGTATCAAGGACGAACAAGTAAAGGTGATGTTTTTTATAGTAAAGAATCTGCAAGCACATTTAATCTTAGGAATAGATTTTCTTTCAGACGCACAAGCTACACTGGATTTTAATGAAGCGTCCCTTAAGCTGACAATGAAACCAGTTCGTGTAGAAAAGGCTGAACCGCCGATGTTAAATCTTGACCACCTGCCTAATGACGAGCAAGATAGAATCCGACAAGTGGTAAGTGAATTTGCTTCGTTATTTAGTGATATTCCAGGATTTACTCAGGTTACTAACCATAGTATTGACACCGGAGATGCAATTGCCAGTTCGTCAAAAACCATACCGGTATGATAAGAATAAGGAAAAAAATTATAGAATGGCATATTACCGATATGCTACGTAAAAAGATCATAACGCCCATCTCAAGTAGTTATGCTAGCCCGGTGGTTTTATGTAAGAAAAAATAATGACTATCCTTTGGAGCATCCAAAAAGGTGGAGATTCGCTATTGATTACCGTAAATTAAACTCCATAACTAAATATCCGGTATATCCGTTACCGATCATAGAAGAAATTTTAAGGAACATAAAATCAACCAAATTTATGACGACTTTAGACTTAACGACTGGTTATTTTCAAATAGGGGTTAGGCCTGAGGACGTGCCTAAGACTGCTTTTATAACCAAGTCTGGCACTTATGCATTTTTGCGTATGCCGTTTGGCCTTTCAGGGGCCCCGGCAACATTTCAGCGATGCATGGACATTGTGTTAAGACCTGTTCTTGGAAAGTCCACATTTATCTATTTAGACGATATCATTATTACTAGTGATAATCTCGACCAACATGTACAGGATTTAAGACAGGTGTTTTCTTTATTAAATGA